TTGATTTTGTCCCTCGCTATAGAGCTCGGGACAAAATTGAGTCTAAAAAGGCTTGAACCTTCTCGTTAAAAAGACAATTTTGTCCAAAAACTGTATAACACTGCGAACCAAAATAAAAGTGTTATAAATAGGTATTTCAATAGTTTGCGCTTAAATAATTTTTTTGGCGGTGGGGGGGGGGGAGACATTTAGATGTTCACTCACCCAGTATTTCCTGTATTCGTATACCCAAGGAGTGTGATTACCCAGCTGTGCAGTGTCTTATCTAAAATTACTCCTGATGATAAAGATGTTCTCTGAATATTAACGAAACCAATTCCTCTGTATTTATCAGAATGTGTTTTCTTGCATTATCTGATAACTGTATAATGAGGATAATGTTAAGAAATACAATAACACAAATCTTGATCAATATGTAACAAGCTAAAAATAAGAAAGAGACATGTTGGAAAGGCCGTATATAACTGCAGCTCAAAATGCTTTAAATTAAGATAAAGGCGCCTTTTAATACAGTGATAACAAGAAAACTGTGGAAAAGGAAGACGACATTAATACAATGCTTTATGAAGTGATGTTAGAAAGCAAATTATAGTTTTATAAGTAACTTTGCACTTATTGAAAGAAAGTGGTCTGTTTACACTGCACAACTGCTGTATCTAATGTTTACAGGATTATTTAAAGTCATAACTTTGTCTAAAAATCGTCTTCCTATTCCAGAGTTTATTGGTTCTCACCACTGTACCATCTCATCGTTTGGAAAACTTGGGAGCTCTGGCCGAATTTATAATCAACAGGTGGAACTGAACTCAAAACTTTTTTATTGTAAATCATTGATATTCAAAGCAAACCTTTAAATTAGTTTAATTCCTCTTTGATAATCATAACTCGTGTTGGTGATATCTTGCAGGGATATCTTTAATTGATTGATATAGCCATATCCTCCACACAAAATTGCCGCTTTAGTGTTTGTAAAATTTAACTAGATACAGAATTAAGTAGGGCTTGGCAAAGTTCCGTTAACCAAACGAAGATTTCGAAAATTAACCGAAGAGCCCATTAACGAATGGCAAAAAACGTTAATTTTTAAATTGTTAACGAAACGGATGAGTCGTTTTTGAAAACAAATTACGGTTAAAAATGTTAACTAAATCTCTAAAAACGGTAAATTTCGTTTTCTTCTGATTAATATTGCATGATATTATTTTTTTTTATTTTACGCGTTTTGATGTTATTAAATGTCGTTTTCTGTGTTTATAAACCGTAAACGGTACCACTAATGGCTAGAGCAATTAACGATAGTTGAACATTTTCCGTTAACGCCGTTAATAAAATGGAGATATGCTAACTAACAGTAATTTAAAAAACCTGAATATACCGTTAACAGAAGGAGCGTTCCGTGCTTACCTTTAAAATTTACGGCTAACTGAAATTCGTATTTTTTAAAGCTTGGAACTAAATATTAACGAAACTGCTAGAACAAGTTGGAACGTGCCCAGCCCTAGCCCTAAGTCAGACCGCGTCAACCTAGTTCCACCAGATAGTCCTGCATATATTGCAGTTGGTGTACAGGGCTGGGCAGTTCAAACTAGGATCGGTTCAGCTCAGATTCAAATGTATATGAGTTGAGTGTCTCCGAATTTAAACTTACAAGCATTATTTATCAAGATCAAGCTTTCAAGATGAACAATAATCAAAACAAGAATCCGACCTCTGTAAAAATATCTATTATTATATAATATCTTTAAATTTAACTATCTGAATAAATTTTCCCAATTAATTAAAAACAGTTCAAACTATGTATTCTTCCACAACCTCACCCCGGAACTTTAAAATGCCCTATTCACTTATATTTTTAGGATTTATGCAAATAGGGTCGTTGATCTGTTTATAAAGTTTGTACTGTAAAAGAGCAACTATTTTAAGAAAATAGAGAAAAAACAACCAAAGTGCTTATTTTGTTTTTCAATGAATATACGTAATGAAAATACTCAGCAAATGCTATAGGGAAAGCCGTATTCAGACATTCTGAAGATTTTGTTAAGCTAAAAAATAATAAATTTAAAATATAGATTAATAATTGATGTTATTCTCAATAAAACAGGAATTTAGTGCTTTTTTCAGAGACTAAATATTATTTTTTACATCATGAGTTAGTAGCTCCAATCTACGGTAAGTTAGTTTCGAACTGAAGAATATTTCTGGATTTCATGAATTTGGGATTTTGTGTATTTTCATAAAAATGTTTGGCAGATTTGTGTTGTCTGAAATGTACAATTTGTTTTTAATATGTGCACACATCAAAGAATTGTAAAAGGTGTAAATTGTTTAAGCATAAAAAGTTAAAAACTGATGTATTCTTTCTTAACTGACTGGCTGCATTTAATCAGATCAAGTAAGAAGAAGATACGTGTGAAGTATAAAAGTAAAATTTGCCGAAATTTATAATTTTTTAATGTTACAAGATCTGGTGCATGAAAAAAACCATCTCCAGACTCTAGATTGTACTTTTATTTTTGTTTTTTCATAAAGTAATCCCACTTAAGTGAAACATATTTGTATAAAGAAAAACCACATTTCATAAAAAATACCGAAAACAATGTTGAAGCGATGGTGAGGGGGGGGGGGGCCGTGGAGATGTTGTGTCATAAATCAATTTTGGGTTTTATTTTCTATCATTCTCTTTTACTCTATTTTTTGCCAAAGATTGAAATAAAGTTAATTATTTGAAGGTTTTACGTAAGTCTTGTGCATTTTTTCTTTAAAATGCGAAATTTTAACCTTTTTGTTTAAGACCTTGCAAATAATTCATGATATTTGAGTCTATCCGCTGATATTTGTCGATCTTTGTCGATATTTGTCGATATTTGTCGATATTTGTCGATATTTGTCGATATGTGTCGATATTTGTCGATTCTTGTCGATATGTGTCGATATTTGTTGATATGTGTCGATATTTGTCGATTCTTGTCGATATTTGTCGATATTTGTCGATATTTGTCGATATTTGTCGATATTTGTCGATATCCGTCGGTCACCGATCTGTAAACCAGTTGTGTTTTCACTCTAAAACATCTTGATGCAAATCTTTTCTGAAAATTTGACAGGTTCATTCCTACTTATTCCATTTTATATCTTTCAAGAATTCTATTCAACGAGGAAGAGATGGCGGCACTTGGTATTTTGAAAGGGTTCCAGCTTCAAGGGGTTTGAAGTAAAATGTGATTAAAAATGAGAAAGTTTCAAGAGGAGGAAAGCGAAAAATAAAAAATAAAATGACTTTTTCAATTTTTCAGATATTTGGGTAGGAAACCTATTTATTATTATATATTATATATAATATTATTATCATTATGATATATTATATTATTACAGCATATTATTCCTTAACAAGCTCTTGGCGATCCGCAAGTTTTGAAATATCTAGACACATGATGAAAGCTGCCAAACTACCCTAACCACCCCTCAGGAGGGAAATGCAATGGGCGTATTTGGTTGAATATAGTAAGCTTAACTTTTGCACGAACTGTCAACATTTTTCTTCATTTCGAATTCTTACAAAAATTTTGCACTGTTCAACCCGACCAGTTAGAGAAGGGTTATTTCATTGTTACGACTTAATTCCGTAAACCTGTTTTTGTGTTCGTCTACAGTAATAAAGTACAAACAATTTTCTCTTTCTATTTTCACGTAGAGTAATAAAACGAAGAGGTGAAGCTTAGCTTAGATGTACACAACCGTCTATTAATTAATTAATAGACAGGTCGTTTGTGTACATCACGATATGTACATGTAACGCTGTACACTTGTATATTGTGTGATCGTATTTCTAAAAAGGGATTTTATGGAATTAACCAATTTTTAGATTTTCTTTCTTTATTTAAAGAGAATTCGACGATGTTGACCGCAAACATTTGACAATTTTCAAATTTGTAGGTTTTCAATTTATTAGCTAAAAGTTCTGTCAAAAATATTAAGATTCTAGGGCATGAATTTAACTGAAAACTTTCTTATTTCAAACATTTTTTATTGTTTCTTCTCTTCTCTTTATCATAAACATGACAGTGTATGCAGGGTTACCCACAAAGATGAAACAACGATGACGACCTGGACCTCCTAACCCTAAACAGGCGGGGGGGGGGGGGGGGGGGGGGGCGGGGGGGCATTTGGCTCCCCCCCTCTAGTTCTTTGACTTTTCATAAATAGAAATTTAAAGGATTTTTTGGTAAATTTTTTATGCCTAAGGTAGGGTGCAGGGCGATAAAAAACCAGAGTATGTAAAAAAATCTTAAATAGCCCATAACATTTTTATGACCAAAGCTACGGATCTGAAAACTATAGTTGAAAAATGGGCGTAGAAACGTGTGTCAATCTTTGATATTTGTTTTAAACAAAAAATTGTTTTACATTTTTTCGACCTAATCTATCTAAGTATCAATACTAATATTCAAATATCTACATTAAACCACTCCTTAGAAATACGATCGCTCTATACAGCGTTAGATACGTAAACATATCGTGATGTACACAATTATTAATTAATTAATAGACAGGTCGGTTGTGTAGATCTGAGCTTCACCTCTTCGGTTTATTACTCTATGGTTTGAAATATCAAAGGTTTACACCATTATGTTTAAAAAAAATAGAGATTAGAAAATTTTAGCTCTCTGCAAAAACTCTTGGATTGTTCAACTGATCTACAACCACTAGATTGAAGGATCAGTTGTCTTCCAATAGAAGAAGTTGCATTATTCTAAAATATCATTGTTTAATGATATTGAACTTAAAATAATGTCATAAAAATAGAATATAAAATCAATATTTCACCCAAAAGTATGAATATTTACCTCAATTAGTAGCGGAGAGGAAGTTCTACTGAACTTTACATCATCTGGCAGCCATTGAACTCCAAGAGTAGGTTTAAATAGCAAGGCTGTTAACAATGCTTCATTCNTGTACATAGAATGAATTATGATATTGATATATTTTCAAATAGAAAAAAACAATAAAATAAAACATTAAATTGTATGGAATGTAAAGTAAAGCGAATCTATCAAAATAAAATCAAATTCTGAACCACAGCAAAGTCAAGCTAATATTCTTTTAATTTGAACTCTTGCATGGTTTCAAACACTACTCCTTTATCTGAAGAGCTAATCCCAGTCTAGTCTAAAATGTCTTCTTTATGTTGGAGTAGAACTCTAAAGGTCTAGAGTTCTTTTTGTAGAGGTTGGAGAAGAACTCATGAAGATCTGGAGTTCTGTGTGTTGAGGTTGGAGTAGAACTCTGGAGGTATGGAGTTCTGTATGTTGAGGATGGAGTAGAACTCAAGAGATAAGGAGTTTGACGTTGGAGTTGAACTCTGAAGATCTGGATTTCTAAATGTTGAGGTTGTAGCAGAACTCTGAAGATCTGGAGTTCTTTATGTAGAGGTTGGAGTCAAACTCTTAAGGTCTGGAGTTCTTTATGTAGAGGTTGGAGCAGAACTCTGGAGCTCTGGAGTTCTGTATTTTGACATTGGAGTAGAACTCTGGAGGTCTGGAGTTCTGTATGTTGAGGTTGGAGTAGAACTCAAGAGATCTGAAGTTCTGTATTTTGACGTTGGAGTAGAACTCTGGAGATCTGGAATTCTGTGTGTTGAGGTTGGAGTAGAACTCAGGAGGTCTGGGGTTCTGTATGTTGACGTTGGAGTAGAACTGTGGAGATCTGGAGTTCTGTATGTTGAGGTTGAAGTAGAACTCAGGAGGTCTGGAGTTCTGTATGTTGAGGTTGGAGTAGAACTCAAGAGATCTGGAGTTCTGTATGTTGAGGTTGGAGTAGAACTCTGGAGGTCTGAAGTTCCGTATGTTGAGGTTGGAGTAGAACTCAAGAGATCTGGAGTTCTGTATGTTGAGGTTGGAGTAGAACATGGGAGATCTGGAGTTCTTTATGTTGTGGTTGGATTGAAACTCTAGAGATCTGAAGTTCTTTATGTTGTGGTTGGAGTGAAACTCTGGAGATCTAGAGTTCTTTTTGTTAAGGTTGGAGCAGAACTCTGGAGGTCTGGAGTTCTTTATGTTGAATTGGAGTAGAACTTTGGAGGACTGGAGTTCCTTATGTTGAGGTTGGAGTAAAACTCTAGAGATCTAGAGTACTCTATGTTGACTGTTGAGGTTGTAGTAGAACTCTGAACATCTGGAGTTCTTAATGTCGAGGTTGGAGTAGAACTCTGAAGATCTGGAGTTCTTTATGTTGGCTGTTGAGGATGTAGTAGAAGGGATGTCCTAAATAAAAATATTTGTTATATCCGTTATTACTGATTTTAAGCTGATAACTGGAGCTACCAGTCCCCTATCAAATATAATTTTATAAGCACTGTTTTCATGCTTTTAAAATTATATTTAACATTGACACAAGGAGGCATATTGCTTCATTAATTTTTATTTTTATTTTAAATTATGCTAAACTTGTATCAAAACTTATTTATCATATATGCATTAACAATAAATGATAAATAAGCTGGGTATCATACTCGCTCATTTGTATTCAGTGTTGCTGGCAAATTGTTATCAGCTAAGAACTAAGCGAGTAATAATTAAAATTTAAATAATGTTAATATACAATCTGTATATAATGTACCCCGTCACATTTTATACTCATGTATATTATTCTGAATTTAAAAAATAAACATTGAGGGAAAAACTGAGTTGAATTTGAAGAATAATTAAGTTTTAGAAATATACATATGTATATATAATGTACCTCGTCACATTTTATACATATCTATATAATACTTAATTAAAAATTATAAAAAATACAAACAGTAAATCTTGACTAGGTTGACCGGGAGCTAGAGAACAGTGCTGGGAATAAACCCAGATGCTGGTTTAGTCCATCAAGTTGAAAAAGAAAGCTACGACATCGACGATATGGGGGACAAGCTGCTAGACTTTGAAGAAGTGAAGAGCAAAATAATGCAGACAAGCTGAAAATAATCATATTTAGAAAAACATTCAGGCATATTTCAGATATTAAAGATTAAATTTGTGCTCTAAAATATGTTTTAAAATGAAAAACAAATATAGAACACAAAATACCTCTCCATCTCGGATTGCTCAACTGATCTACAACCACTAGATTGAAGGATCAGTTGTCTTCCAATAGAAGAAGTTGAATTATTCTAAAATATCAGTGTTTAATGATATTGAACTTAAAATAATGTCATAAAAATAGAATATAAAATCAATATTTCACCCAAAACTATGAATATTTACCTCAATTAGTAGCGGAGAAAAAGTTCTACTGAACTTTACATCATCTGGCAGCCATTGAACTCCAATAGTAGGTTTAAATAGCAAGGCTGTTAACCCTAGATACTTAGATAGATTAGGTCGAAAAAATGTAAAAAAAATTTTGTTTAAAACAAATATCAAAGTGTGACACACGTTTCTACGTCCATTTTTCAAGGGCTTTTCAAAACTATAGTTTTCAGATCTGTAGCTTTGGTCATAAAAATGTTATGGGCTATTTAAGATTGTTTTACATACTCTGGTTTTCATCGCCCTGCACCCTACCTTAGGCATAAAAAAATACCAAAAAATCCTTTAAATTTCTATTTATGAAAAGTTAAAAAATTAGAGTGGGGAGCCAAATGCCCCCCCCCCCGTCATCGCTGTTTCATCTTTGCGGGTAACCCTGCATACACTGTGATGTTAATGATAAAGAGGTGAAGAGAAGAAACAATAAAAAATGTTTGAAATATGAATGTTTTCAGTTAAATTCATGCCCTAGAAGCTTAATATTTTTGACAGAACTTTTAGCTAATAAATTGAAAACCTACAAATTTGAAAATTGTCAAATGTTTGAGGTCAACATCTTCGAATTATCTTTAAATAAAGAAAGTAAATCTAAAAATTGGTCAATTCCATAAAATCCTCCTTTAGAAATACAAACACACTATATACAAGTGTACAGCGTTAGCTACGTAAACATATCGTGATGTACACAACCGACCTGTCTATTAATTAATTAATAGACAGGTCGGTTGTGTACATCTGAGCTAAGCTTTACCTCTTCGTTTTATTACTCTATGATTTTTCATAACATAGGCACTACAAGGGGGGGGGGATATACCCTAGATCTCTCATATTGTACAAACGAGAAATCTGTGGGAGAAAAACCAATGGTGAAAATACTTTATTTTGCATTTAAAAATACGAAACTTCAAGATTCCAATCTACAAATGGTTTCGCAAGATGAAAATCAGAATTCTAACAGTAAATAACCAAGCCATGCTTCCATAGATATACAAAAACAAGACAATTCTTTAAAAACAAGACATTCATATATATATGTTCCCCTTGGCCGGCCAAACGGCTGGACCGAATGGGCTGATTTTTTTGTGGACACTCCAGCTCCTGGGTAGCGAGGGGTGACATAGGCTGAAATAAATTTTCTTTTTTTCAATTTTTTAAAAATTGTTTTTTTTTTTCTACGGGTAACGCCGGGTCCTTCAGCTAGTAAACTATAGAAATGTAGAATGTGCAGTATAACTATTTGAAGAGACCATTAAAAGAAGATACTGTGGGACAAACTTTCAGGTTGAGAAAATAGAAAGAATTAAAAACTAGAATGTGCAGGAAGATTAAAGAAAAGACTCGGAAGAAGGACGAATTGAAGTTTTAAGGTTGAAATACAGAGTGAAATAAAATAGGACGAGTTTTAGAACAAAAGACGAATTGAAGATATTGAGGTTGAAATACAGAGTGAAATAAAATAGGACGAGTTTTTGAACAAAAGACGAATTGAAGATATAGAGGTTGAAATACAGAGTGAAATAGAATAGGACGAGTTTTTGAACAAAAGACGAATTGCAGATTTTATGGTTGAAATATAGAGTGAAATAAAAAAGGACGAGTTTTTAAACAAAAGACGAATTGCAGATTTTATGGTTGAAATATAGATTGAAATAAAATAGGACTAGTTTTGAACAAAAGACGAATTAGATATATTTAAATTAAAATAAAATACAATTTTACAAAACGAAAAATAAAGAAAAAGGGAGAAAGTAATATTTAAAAAATTTATAAAAGATACAGAAAAATATTTAGATGACAAAAAAGCGAAAAAACTGATTGAAGAATTATTCAAAAAAAATAATTCTGAACAAACTGACAAAAAGTGAGGAACAGGCTATTATTTAGGATCGAAAAGGTGGGGCAATGACGGCTGGATTTGCAGAAAATATTTATTAAATTGTTTTAAAATATCACTTCGTCGTAAATCCTTTAGTTTTTGGTCAAAACTCCAAATTTGTAAAGAGACCTTTATGTTCTTTGAATGTTGCCAATGTTAAAAGAAGGACACTCAAATGATTCATAATGTCGTAAAAGAAAATGAGGAATCTTAAAGCCGGCAAATGAATTAGTTTACGAGAACATGAAAATTGTATTTTCCTTGTAGAAACATAATCCCTTGGAATACATCCTGAAAATTGTATGCACCTGTAGAAAAATGCCCCCTAAAATACACCTGCAACGAGATCATGAAAATTGTGTTCCCCCTGTAGAAAAATACTCACCTAAAATACACCTGCAACGAGATCATGAAAATTGTGTTCCCCCTGTAGAAAAATACTCACCTAAAATACACCTGCAACGAGATCATGAAAATTGTGTTCCCCCTGTAGAAAAATACTCACCTAAAATACACCTGCAACGAGATCATGAAAATTTTACCCCCTCTCTAAAGAAGGTATAAAAATTCTCCCCTATAGAATACATCTCTAACTAGATTATGAAAATTGTGTACCCCCTGTAGAAAAATACTCCCCTAAAGAATACATCTCTAACTAGATCATGAAAATTGTGTCCCCCCTGTAGAAAAATACTCCCCTATAGAATACATCTCTAACTAGATCATGAAAATTGTCCTCCCCCTGTAGAAATAAACTCCCCTAGAATACATCTCCAGTTATGATTAATATACTAGGATAAATGGATGAGTTTAGCCCTGACTGAAACATTGAACCTGACTGCAGTGTTGACCTCCTCGGAGTAAGAAACTGAACTTAGGGATAACCTAAACCTGAACTAGACGCTGTAAACTGGAGTACATGGATAACCTAAACCTGAACTAGACGCTGTAAACTGGAGCACATGGATAACCTAAACCTGAACTAGACGCTGTAAACTGGAGCACATGGATAACCTAAACCTGAACTAGACGCTGTAAACTGGAGTACATGGATAACCTAAACCTGAACTAGCCAGGGTTTTGACAAAAAATCAATACTTATGTTGGCAATCCTACTGGTGCTATTTACACTGAATTCATCCTAATTTTGAATTCAGTATAGAACATGGTTTGATTAGTACATATTGAATAAAGAATTAGAGATATGTATCAAATATTCATAGAGTATCTCAGGCTTACAGGATATCAAAATGAGAAGAGAGAGGGGGGGGAGGGGGGGGACTGTTATAAAAAGAGATGGGCACGTTAGAATTTTTTTCATTTTGTTGTTTGTTTATCATTTGTGTATCGTGAACGACCCATTTCGTTCAGGTTTTTTCCAAGTATTAAAAAAATATTTTGTTCGTTATCATTCATTTTCCATCTATCTAGTTCGTTTTCTCATTAAACGATCGTTCAGAAAAATCGTTAATTTAGTAAATTCGTTTTTTTAGTAAAAGTTTTCATTTAATAAAATTAAAAATTGTTTATTTAGTGAAAAAACTATGGTTTTTTCAAGTTCGTTTGAGCGATTTTAATTTGCTTGTTTCTGTTTTTCATGACTCTAAACGATCCAAACATTGGTCCATCTTTTTTATGAACGACACCATTGTTTACGAAAACATTCGTTCTTTCTCAAAAAGCTCAACCATTCATAAAACGATGCCCATCTCTAACTGTAAACACCGGATCACAAAAAGTACCGAGCCGACTTATGAGCCAATCTTAAGCAATTTGTTCAATATAGACGCAGCCTTCAGACTGCAAAACAGAATTTTGCACAGTACAGTGTACAGTGTAAAGTGTACATTATACCCTTCTAGTGATATTAATGTAAAGAACTGGGGTTGAACGTGGAGCGGGAATTAGCTTAAAGAAAAAGTTCTAAAATTTTGTTTTGAATTCTAACTATTTGCAGCATTAATTAATTAAAATTAAAATAACAGATAGGACACTAGATATCGTCTTTTCAAGATTTGGATGAAACTCGTTCACACTAACCCTAAGGCAGAAGCCCAGAGGAGTTTCGCGCAGTCTGCATAGAACATGCTCTCTCTGTCTTGTAATTCAACGCTGTCTTGTGAACGAGTTTCATCCAAATCTTGAAAAGATGACATCTAGTGTCTTATATGTTATTTTGATTAATCTATGATCTGAAGTTTCTAACAAAATGTTAGTAATTAAAAAATGTTTCCTGAAGTTGTATCATACTTGGTCGAGAGTACAGAGGATATGCACTTGAAATGTCCAGGTACATGAACTAGAAGTTTGTCTATCTTTTGGAAAAAATATGTCTGCTAAACACAAACCACAGATCCCTGTTTCCAAGAAATATTCCCCCTCATAATCCCAGCTTTAGAGAATTAAGAACCAAGTTGTTTAAGCCAAAACGGAAAGGTTAAGAGGATCATGTAAGTCTACAAAATATATCTAAAAACTACTGAATAATAACTTAAAAATGTGGCTTTACTATTATGACAAATTTAAAATCTTCTTATTCTAATTCTTGTTCACAGAATTTTGATTGCTGATGGATCGTTTCACATATTTGTTTAGTGTAATTCTTTTTTAACCCTATCCCTGCTGGGGTACTTGAAAACCAGGATACGCTGGGGGGGGGGGGGTCAATTTGACCCCCCCCTCTAAATCCCATGTTTTATGTCCAAATATGACAAATGATACATCATTAGAAAGCTCTTGTGCTCTACTTTTAGAATCTGCAAAAAAATTTGCAAATTTGCGAAAATTGAATTTTTTATCGCAAAATCCAGTTTTATAGTAAAAATGTTTGCAAGAAAAAATTTGTCCAAAAAATGACAAATTATACATTTTTGAAAAGCCCTTGACCATGCCATTTCAAATATGCAAAAATTTTTGCAAAATTTTAAATAACCTGATTTTTAATCAAGAAAAACTAAAAATGTGCAAATTTCCTTTGACAGGTTGTTTGCAAAAAATTTGCAATTTTTTTTTCGCAAAACTTATGCAATCCGTTTCCTTATGTCATAGGCTTTCCAAAAAGCTAAATTTTATCAAAATCTGATAAGTGAAAGTGGGTCAAAACAAAGATTTAGTTTGTTACAGGCAAAAGCAGTCATTCAGGCAGTGTGCCTGAGGACTCAGGCAGTT